AATCACTAAGACTAAAGGAAGTAATCTGCACATTTACTATAAATGTAAGATAGAAATCAATTGTAAAGTTATCAGAATAACTAACAATTTAATTAAAAATAAGCATAATCTTACATAGTACCTAATTCAAAAGGTAAAACTATAAAATATAATTACTAAATATTGACATTTTTGCCATTTTATTTTTATTTTTATTATAATTTTATTTTATTTTGAAGAGCAAAAACAAAAACAAGAAAAATAAAAACAAACAGAAACAGGGTAACAATACATATGTCACAGATTTTCAAAACAAGAGAGCTGATTAACAATGATTGATATATTATCTTTTTTATCATCAAATCTGTTGCTCAAATTAACAGATACAGTTATGCAAGATTGGACATATGATTGAATATTAGCCTCATGCTGTCAAGAAATCTTATATCTTTTGTTCTTGTCACTCTTTTGCTTTTATTACCTTTTTCTTAAAAAAAATTTAAAGAGTATAGTAATAATTTATATGGCATTAGAAATGGTACATATTTAAAAGATCAAGATTACAGATATTTAAAGCATGGTTTTTGAATTACACATTGCTGTCCTCAATGCAGTTGCTTAGATTGCAAAGGCTGAGGTGATCGTACTAAGAATTTCCAATAGCACTTTTCTACACAGACAACAAACACACTGAGAGGGAAATTATAGAAACAATACCTTTTACAATAGCACTGAGGAAATGAAATACCTTGGCATTAACCTCACTAAAGAGGTCAAAGATCTTTTTAAGGAAAATTGACTCTTAAAAAAGACATTGTAGAGGATTTCAGAAAATGGAAAGATATTCCATGCTACTGCATAGGAAGAACCAACATTGTGAAGATGGCCATACTCCCAAAATTGCTGTACAGATTTAATGCAATCCCTGTCAGACTACCAACAACATACCTCACAGAGGTTGAGAAATCATTCCTAGAATTTATCTGGAACCAGAAAAGACCTAGAATAGCAAAGACAATTCTGGGCAATAAAGACAAGGCAGGAGGCATTACAATTCCTGACTTGAAATTATACTACAAGGCTACTGTGATAAAATCAGCATGGTACTGGCAACAAGATAGACCTGAGGATCAATGGAATAGATTAGAAGATGCTGAAGCCCCTACGAACACACTCAGCCACCTTATCTTTGACAAAGGGGCCAAACATACTCACTGAAAGAAAGATAGCCTCTTTAACAAATGATGCTAGAAAAACTGGCTCTCTACATGCCAAAAACTAAAACTTTACCCAGGTCTATCACCATGCACTAAGCTAAAGTCAAAATGGATTAAAGATCTAAACGTTAAAACAGAAACACTAAATCTCCTGGAAGAGAAAGTAGGAGGAACTCTTGAAGACATAGGGGTAGTCAAAGAGTTCATGAACAAAAATCAAATCGCACTGGAAACACTTGACAGAACTAATAACTGGGACCTGCTCTTATTGAGAAGTTTTTGCACATCAAAAGAAATTACCAACAAAGTGAAAAGGCAACTCACAAATTTGGAAAAAATCATAACAAATAAGTGCTCAGCCAAAGGTCTGCTCTCTAGAATTTATAGTTTTTTGAAAATAGCAGTTAATGTGCAGAATCCTAACCTTGACTAACTCTGTATGCTGATATCTGTGATCATTTTTACTATTTTAAAGTCTAAGAGACTGCCACACAAGTTGAGGAGTTTGTCCCGCTATAATATTAAAAGGGAATGAGAATATTCATAATCAATTCATGCGATGTTTTTGATTAACCTTAAAATAAATCTGTTAATATGATGGGGAATAGAAATGAGGCAATTTATAAATAAAATTGAGCACCATTTTGTAATTTCTGAAGTTGAATGTAAAGTACAAAATATCCAATTTACAACTTTCTATACTTTTATGTTTCCTTAGTGGACAGTTGAAGATAGTGTAAGCAGGACAAAATGGAAAGGCCTCTAAAGAGGCAAACTCAAACAATGTGAAATCTGCACATTTACTATTAATGTAAGATAGAAATTAATCATAAAGTTATCAGAACAACTAATAATTTAATTAATAATAAGCATAATCTTACACAGTGCTTTGTTCAAAAGGTAAAACCATAAAATGTAATTACTAAATATTGACAAAGTTCTAATAATGACAAGAGTACAAGTTAGAACTTAATGAAATTTGAACAAATGTGTCCTTAGAGGGAAAATAACTTCAAAATTTCTTTATTACTTACAAAGAAAGATGAAAGTAAATAAAGTAAGCATTTAATTAAATAAATTGGAAGGAGGAAATAAAGCATAACTTAAAAAAATAAAGGCATTAAAATGCTAAACTGATAATCAGTGGATTAGAAATGTAACATGATCAAGAAACCAGAAAACACAAATTTGTGACCAAGGATATAATTGTACTTAAATATATTATAATTTTTAGAAAAAATTAATTGTCAGAGTTGATGCAGACAAGGCAGAAAATGGCAACAGATCAATACTTATACTGTACAAGAAAAGAAAAGATATATACTTTCGCACTTTCCTCCCTACTCTCATTCAAAAATATCAGGACTAAATGACTTTGAATATGATTGTCATCAAACTTTAAAAGAAGAGAATGTTTTTGTTGCCTAAAATTCTCCAAGAGTGCCAGGGATATAGCTCAGCAGTGTATATGCCTGCCTGGCAAGCACAAGCTCCTTAGTTCAATTTCAAGTACTAAAAACAAAAAAGACCATCAAGAAAGCTCAATGGATCAAGCTCAGGGACTGGAATTCAATGCCTATAATCCCAGTGCTAGGGAGAGAAGGCTGAAAACTGGAGGATCACTACCAGTCTGAGCTGCAGAGTGAGACCCTGTAACAAATACATTTAAAAAATAAATTATCCAGGATACAAAAACGTATGAGAAGTCCCAAACCATTTTATCTGTGAAACAACCATACTCTAAGAAATAATTAAGGAATTGAACAGAAGAAAAATATAGGAAAATTTCATTAATGAATGGATGGAAACTCAAACCAAAATAAAGACAAATCAGTCTAGGGTCATGTCAAAAGAGCAGTACATCCTAAAAAGGAACTTGTTTCAGGGATAAAAGTAAATCTAATACAAGGATATTTATACATTTGATGCTTATCAATATTATCTAAAGACAAAATGTATTCAGTTATTGTAGCAAATTCCAGAAATTTATTTGAGCTAACATTATTGGATCAACATCTAATTCTTATAAAACTTGGAATTAGAAAAGTAATGCTTTAATACCAAAATGGATATATGTGCTTATATTTCAGATAAAGAGTGCATTTAATTGTGACATACTTAAAGTAGAGGAAATTGATTTTATTTCTCCTGCTTCTATTTTTGATTGTTCAGAATTCTATCAATTCTCAGTTGGAAACTGTCTTTGAACTCTTCAGCAGTATCTACTTTATAGAGACTCCAGGGTGATTTTACTTTTTTAACATGACCAACTGATTCTGTCCTTCATCAGGAAGAATAAACAGACAAACACAATCAAAAACCTGTTGAGCAATAGAGAATGGGAGTTTACTTTGCTATAAATAAAAATATACTACAATACAATAACTTATGATTGAGTCAATGTGCAAAAGATGACATGTTTAGAATATGGCAGCTCCAGTCCTTAGACAAAAGATGAGTTATTTAATAAGGCTTGTTTAGGGCCAGTGACATAGCTCAGCAGACTAAGCACTTGCTTAGGCAACTATAGGAATCAGGATTCAAGCCCCGGCACAACAGGCTGCACTGAGCTGGGCACCAAGACCAGGCGTGGTGGTGCACGCCTGTAATCTCAATGCTGGGGAGGCTAAAAACAGGAGGATCACTATGAGTCTGAGCCGTGTTGTGAGATCCTGTATCAAATACATAAAAAAAAAATAAATAAGTCTTGTTTGACACAAAGAACATTTCTCATTATTATATGAAGATAATACAGTAGTCTCCACCACTGCCTTGTCATCCTGGTAGTTGCCTCCTCCTTCTAAGGATAATGCTGAGCAGTACACATTATCTATGTGTCACCCCCATGTGCCCTGCGCTTTGCTATCTAGTCAGAGGGGATAATAGGTTCTTTCACATTTTATACCTTGTGCCTCTTTGCCCCTCTGCTTTCGCATTTTGGGGGCCATTGTTAAATAAAACAGGAGTTACCTGAACATGAGCGTTTATTCCGTGCATCAACTACCGAGGGCAGCACCTATACAAAAAAGGCACCGTGATACTGTGACAGCAGACCTAATAACCAAATGAGTTGCTGAGTCACTAATAGGTGAGCTGTATGTACAGGGTAAAAGCATCACAAAAGGGATGATGCACTTGGTAGGCATCACTTGGTGGCCTCACATTTCATCACGCTACTCAAAACAGTACCTGATTTGAAAATTCTAAATTGTTTCCGAAATGTTCTATTTAATATTTGCAGATCATGATTTAGAAGCAGGTGAATGAAACTGCTGAGAAGTGAAATTGTGGGCAAGAAGGACAATGGCATATTATGATTTTAAGCTAAACGTAATTGCTTTATGTGTAAAAAATATCGTTAAGAGAAATTATCGGATTTTTTAGAGACAAAACGTGAGCAGGATAGACTGGATATTTAGTACCATTTCACATATGCCAGAGTGACTGTCTTTATGGTAATATTCTGAGTCGCTGAAGGGAGTTGACAGTTATCTTCCAATAGCATTGTAAATTATTGACGATGATGGTGATGAAGATGATGATGATGATAAATTTAGATAGCGTTTATTCCGTGCATCAACTACCCAGGGCAGCACCTAAAAGGCAAAAGGCACGGTTACTGTTCTATACAGGAAGATCCCACAGAGTGGAGAGAGGATCGGACTTCGAGGAAGTAGGGTAGATGGAAGAGCAGTCAGACGTACGGCACATGTCATTGCCCCTTCCTGCAGCGCGAAGCGAGCTCTTCAGACACATCAGGGGAAATGGTTCGTTTTCAAGTTCTAACTTGCTTTCTTTTCTCAGGGACCTGATGCCGCGCACGCTGGAGGGACAGATCACCATGGAGAAGACGCCCAGCTACTTCGTCACGCGGGAGGCACCCGCGCGCATCTCGGCCATGTCCAAGGACACCAAGCTCATCGTGGTGGTGCGGGACCCGGTGACCAGGGCCATCTCGGACTACACGCAGACGCTGTCCAAGCGGCCGGACATCCCCACCTTCGAGAGCCTGACGTTCAAAAACAGGAGCACGGGCCTGATCGACACGTCGTGGAGCGCCATCCAGATCGGCATCTACGCCAAGCACCTGGAGCTCTGGCTGCGCCACTTCCCGGTGGGCCAGATGCTCTTCGTGAGCGGCGAGCGGCTCATCAGCGACCCAGCGGGCGAGCTGGGCCGCGTGCAGGACTTCCTGGGCCTCAAGCGCATCATCACGGACAAGCACTTCTACTTCAACAAGACCAAGGGCTTCCCCTGCCTGAAGAAGGCCGAGGGCAGCAGCAAGCCCCACTGCCTGGGCAAAACCAAGGGCAGGACCCACCCCGAGATCGACCCCGCGGTGGTGCAGAGACTGCGCGAGTTCTACCGGCCCTTCAACCTCAAGTTCTATCAGATGACCGGGCATGACTTCGGCTGGGATGGATGACGAATATAATTTAAAAAGCAAAAAAAAAGTATCAAAATATAATATATTTTTTTACCAATCGGTAGAGAAAAGGCAGTTTAATATTTGTGCTGAAAATACTTGTTCCAGTATTTTTTCAATGAATGTTCCCGCCTCCACCCCACCTTGATGTGTAACTGAGGTCAAACATCAGGGTAAATAGAACAGGAAAACTTCTCGCATCTCAATGGTTTCAATTTTCAGTTTTAGTGTGTATATACACAGTCATGAAGAATACACATCAGTTGCAATTAAAATTTTTAAGAAACTCGTGATGGTAAACATTTTTTTCTTTAAAAAATGAGGAGCCTGATAAAATCGGTTTCCATTCTTAATTTTTTTTTGTCCTTTATTCCTGTGCCAAGTTTTAATAAATCGTTTCCCAACTTGGCAATAATGCTGTAAGTGGACACTTTTTCATAGTTTTCATATTGCACTCAAAAGAATTTTTTGATTCTTATACCATATATGGAGTAAAAGTATAATATTATACATAGAGACTATTATCCCCATTTTACAGATGAGGAAAACAGACTCAGGGAGATTAAATGACTCATCTTAAGGCTAGGTGATAGATCCTGACAAAACTTCATCTTCCACTTGTTTCTGCTTCATGTCTCTTTTTCTAAGGTGCAGTTGAAAATAAAACAAGGGCACCTTCTTTATCTAGTTTTAGGATGATTTGCAATTGGATCGAAGATTTTTTTTTAAGTTGCTTTATGAGTTCCAGACCCACCTTGTGGCACCCAGTTTCATTACATAATTGGCTTGAAGGAAACCACTACGACCGGGATAAAACCTCTTGGATGAATAAAGTACCCAGAGATATGGAGATGTAATTGATTGGTGTTTGTTTGAGATTGAGAGACATTATTGGATCCTTGTATCCAGGGCAGGATGCACAGCTCCACTAGGAACAGGGTAAAAGGTGGTAGGAGTGTTGCTTAGCTGTTCCTTGATGTAACTGTTTTATTTATTTATTTTTTTTTTTAAGAAAATCTCATTTGAGTTAGACCACAACAGAATGAAACTCACTTTTCTTTACATTGTTTCAAAGTAAAAATCTACTTTTCTTTGTAACAGCTCAGGTCTAACCTTGTAGCTAGTGCTAAAACCCTACCAATTGGCAATTCAGTTGCAATGCCCTTCCTTTTTCATGGGTGGAGGATGGTCACTTCCTCCCTTTATTTTGCCAATTTCCTATTCACACCATTCATAACTTAATGTTTACTCATAATTGGACAGTCTTCAATGAAATGCAGTTGTGGGTAAAATGGTTACCTTTCCTTTTGTCTGTACTTGCCCATCCCCCATTTAAATCGAGTAAATAAATGAGCAGTTCATTGTGAGTCCTCCCTTGCTCTCTGAGTGGATATTAACAAGATTAGCATTAATGGGAATTAAATTGGTTTAGAGAGGAGCACATATGCACGGAATATATCAAATGTTTATGATTAGTCTGTCAGCAACACTTTATTACAGGTTTAAACACAAGAGCAAAATGTCTCTTACACCATAGAAACCATGTCTCCTTATCTGCCCAAATTTACAGAACTAGACACTCTCCTGTTCCATTAAATACCACTAAATACTAAGAAATAGAATATCTTATTTCTTCTCCAATGTTATCAATTAAGAAACTAAAATTGTTTTAAAATATATGTTATAATTCTACCTTTATCATAGTCACCCTGCTAGGGATGTAAATGCTTCCTGAGAACCCTCACACAGGATTAAAGTGAAGAAAAAACTATATCATCTAAGTTTTAAGACTGTTTTTCAGTCAAAGCTCCACATCTTTGGTTTTGTTACTATCCCATTAATGGGAGTTAAGTCAGCCTCAAAGCTGGGTCACCTTTAGCCAGTTGAACTCCTTCACATTTTTGCCCTCAAGTTTCCAGTGTTGCAGCCTGTTTTTGCTCCACTTGAATTGTTACTAGGAACAACATGATATTAATTTTAACTCTTTTCCTCTTTTCTCCTAGCTCATTTTGTTTGTGTTTGTGAGTCTTTTGTAAGCATTTGTCTGCTTGGTGTTATGCAAAATTGGATTGCACAAAAAAATTGCATCTTAAGTAACCTTGCTTTTTTGTGTGTGGAAAAAATAATAAAAGAACAAAATTGGGTGCAGAGAGTCTCTTCTTACACATAGGTAGTTTTGTTCATCTTATTTCAAAAACTTAATGATCACAGAACACTCCAGGAAAATTAGACATTCTAAGATCTCCTAAAAGTATTTTAAGTTATAGATTCCAACAAAATGTGCAAGGACTACAGTTAGTATCCCCTGAATTTCACCCAGAATATTTGGTCTCTGGGTACACTGTGATATTCACTTCTGCTGTGTGTGGAGCTGACTTCACATTTATTTGCCCATTTAACTAAAGCAAATAATAGGGTCTGATCTTTGAATAGAATGTCTAAGCCATCCTTCCTCAGCTCTCTTCTCCAAAGCCATGCCTGACATCCCCTTCAATTTTCATGGAAGCAGAAGATTGCCTTTGCAAGAGAATACCCATGAATGATCTACAGCTTCACTTTGAGCAGTTTCCTTCCAGGACCATGGACACAATACATACATTCTCAAGATGACTTGTCACTTTCAAGGCAAATTGATTCTATTCTAATGACTAAATATTAATAAGCCTCTAGAGAAAGAATACTTAGGAT